GATCTTGTGCCCTTGGGAAAGGCACTTTACACGACTTTCCTCACTTCGCTCATGTGTAAATGAGTATTGTACAGTCCCTGTGTTGGTGGCGGCATTAATATAAGTTGAAAAAAACTTGAGTGTGCCGTCACCACGTCTTGTGATTGCATGTTTCGGAATATATAAAAAAAAAAGCTAAATACATGACTGTGTGGATAACGTCATCTTACGTACAGAGTATATTTGTATGCGGTAACAATAAAGGTTTAACTATTCTCTAACATGTCGTCTCTAAGATCGAAACATTCTTTAATGTATTTTCCTATTTGAACACTGTATTGGTTATCTCCCCTGAGAATGTAGTTGAATTTATCTATAGTATCTAACGTATCGAAATCAATTGAACAAGCTGGATATAGGCAACAGGGCTTGAAACACTGGGTGCATGTGCACCTTGGTGCACCTGAAATTGGAGTTGCGCACCCAATGATTCTTTTCTGTGGCGGCACCAGTGCACCCAGATATGTTCGTAGGTTTACGTATATCAAGATTAAACATATCAAATGCATACTAGTATATAACATCATCCAAGTGTCAGAAAAATGATAAAATGTTTTATTGTTAAATATCATTTTATGTGGAGAACGCAAACATTTTTGTGCACCTATTTTTAGGTTGATTGCAACAGTGTGCTGTTATTCCCCCCAAAAAAATAATTTTGAGCCTTGTATAAAATTTATGTTGGCATATCAAGCTAATAATATATATCAATATAAAGTACATATTATATAACCAGTTTGCTAAATAACAGTGTGTAGAGAGATCCCTTAATGATTTATGTATTAGATAAGATGTATTTTTGAGTTTGATGACTGTAACATTGTTACTGATTTTATCGTCCCAAGTTGTTATGACCATAGGTACTGACTAATAAGCCAACAAGTCATGGTCTTAGATAATAGCATTATTGTGCAACTTGTAGTTTAATTGGGTGTATAGCCTTATGTATGTAAGGATACACAATGGACCTATTGCATTATTACTGCAATGAATGCCGGGGCAGTTTGTGGTCAATCGATGTTTATATTGTACATATGTGTGTGTTTGTGTAGCGTTACATATACTACTTTCGTCTACTGTTGATAGATCACCTATTACAGCATGTAATGCTGTGTCAACAAAACTAGACTCAGCAAAAATCAAACACATCTGACTATAAAAACTTGAATTATTCTTTAACTGACCGTTCTAGAATGTTCTTTAGAACAGGTAAACAAACTGTGACGTAATGATTATAATGTAATAGGTCCATTCAGCCTGTAGGCTGCCAGTTGTTCACTTGTAATGAAAAACCTAACTATAAAGCATGGAAAGGCCCCACATGAGACGTTAAACAGTCCTTCTGTGGATTATTGATTTGTTCAACGTATGAGACATGTAAATCTGACTTTTCGCTGTCTAGTATGAGTATATGAGTTACAGATGACACACGAGTGCATTTCCATCATTTCCAAGTCATTTCTCTAGTGAAAATTAGTACTATAGTCGTAGATGGAGGGAATTTAGAAAACTACATATATAGTATACGTAGGGGCCAAATACGTTTCATAAGGACTAGAATATTTCCGAAAATAATTTCAGCAGGTTGGCAAAACATAAAATGTTTGGATTTTCTTACACACAACCATGGGTTCTTCCTGCCTTACTTACGTTTCTATATCCATCAGAGACCTTCGTCCGAGCTTCAGAATGGAGTACTACACATAACCACATCACTCTGGAACTGTCTTCCAGTGGACATACGGCCACTACAACTGCCTAAGGCCCTGGGGCCAACATTCCCTCCAAGAAAATTTTATCAATGTGAATTTTACTTTCAGGCATGTTAGTCCCTGGAGCATAGGACTTTGAGGTGGTCTGTGTTGGCCCTGGAAAAATGCAGGGGTCTATGACCTAATTAAGACATGAAATTATTGAAAAATATTGTGTGAAAAATGCCAGCAGGACAAGGGTTATGTTAAGTTAGGTTATGTAAACTTAGCCACTTTGGGGATTTTGTTCCCGCCTTAAAACCCCCACCTACATCGGCTACATATAGTGTCTAGAAGCAGTACTCCAGTCAGAAGCTCTGAGAAATATGTCTGATAGACACCGAGACACTAGCAAGGTACGAAGATTCCATGAAAATCCCAATATCCTAAGGACTAGAATAGTCTATAGCTTCTCATAAGTCAATAGGTGTTTCCTCTCTTCTCCAAATCTCGAAATTTGTCTTTTAATTCCCTGAAATATTGATTAATGCATTTATTGGGAAAAGTACGCCATTGGAAAAATGCCCTGCAGACAAAATATAGGAGAAAAGAAAAGCAGACTCATGGAAGAGCCCCGGAGAACCATTTGTAACGTTTAGACTGCAGAAGACTAGAATCCGGTTTGGACAGGAAGAGACAGAAGACATCAGTCAGTCCTTGCATCCGCCTATGATCATATTAACTTATTAATAATGATCATCAAGTAATCATGACACGTAATCGTCTAGAGATAAGGCTTACCTTGACCTTAAGAGGACCTCTTAAAGTTATCTTGTCCTGATGGACAGCACTAAACTCAGGATTTATAAGGAGCAATTTTGCTTCAATCTACCCATGTCCTCTTATGTGCCACATGGCTATATAATCACCCAGGTGAGAAACCTATGGTGTCAACTGTAACAACTGATGCCGTAAAATGTAATGAAAGTTGATGAATGGTAGCGATATAAACGAAGCGTTGATAGGGCGCAGTGACCATCCAATGACCCGTGGTTTAGTGCCGGTCATCAGGGAAAATTGTGTTTTGGTAGAAGATAGACAGTTAACAACGTAAGCTCGTTCAACTTGGTGTCATTAGTGTATTGCTCACCAATGCAAAGTTTACCGTGGTTAGTAGATATATGTATGAAATGAACTCTTATTTGGGTATTGACAAGCGGTTGTTACTGTTTAAAGGATAGGAAAAGGAATTCAAAGTGATCTCGATTCAGCTCACTGTGAGCTACGTACTCTTTTACTGGTCGTGACAGACGCTATGTACAGTATTTACCAGTTCATTGTACCAGAGGAATTCCCCTAGATCTTTTCGACGAGCACAGTGGACCACAGCTTAATGTCATGCCCTAGAATGTGCGACCCTTTCCAGTAGCGTGTCAGGTGAGCGACAACAGCCGGGATTCGAACCCCCAACCTCTTGGTCCAGAGGCAGGATCGCTAACCTTTAACACTTGACTACGTACGCTACTATGTTAAAGGATCATTATGTAACATTTTGGACAAAAAAATGACATATTATCTTTGAATTAATATTGTTATCTGACATTTATGGTATGGTGTTAAAATGTCTGACAGCCGTGTTTCCAGCTTTTAAGCACTCTCGTAAGGCGTCATATTTTGGTTGATTCAAATTCCTTTGAAACGAAATGACAAGAGAATTTACTTTTTTGCATCGTCCTAATGTTACATAATATCTTTAAGCTTGAAGAGTGTTTGACCTTGTATTTACCAAAACGCCATGGCCTCCATTTAACCTTTAACGTTCTAGAAAAAAACGACAGAGCCACATAAACAACTCTGCCAGTCCATATTCATGTGCCAGGTGTGACCGATAGGTCGTTACAGCTCTGGATCGAGATTTTAACTAAACCTTGGATCTGTGAGAAAGGAACTCATCACAAGTTTCCTGGGCGACTTTATTGCATGCGTATCAAACTTGATTTATCATCTGTGGGATTTCACATGAATGGAACATTCCCGACAACCATGAGACACTAATTGTTCATGTTGCCTGAAATGACCAGAAAATTTACTTTTTGCATCGTCCTAATGTTACATGATGTAGCTTTAAGAGTGTTTGACCTTGTATTTAACAAAACACCATGGCCTCCATTTAACCTTTAACGTTTTAGAAAAAAACTACCGACGGATCCACATAAATATCTGTGCCAGTCCATATCTATGTACCAGGTGTGACCGATAGGTCGTTACAGCTCTTGATCAAGATTTGAGCTTAACCTTCAGTTGGATTTCTGAGAGAGGACCTCATCACAAGTTTCCTGTACATCTGGGCAACTTTATTCCACGCATATCAAACTTGATTTATCATCTGTGGGGTTTTGTATGAATGGAACATTCCCGACAACAATAGGACACTAATTGTTCCTGTTGCCTGAAATAACGTAGTCCATAAGCGCAGCAACATTTCCCATTAAACCCCCGGGTTTCTACACGTTAGCGGCTGATAAGAGATAGTTCCGTTGGAACTAATTCTCCCGACGCCATTATCAAGACCAGAATGGCAAAATAAATTGTTCCTGGAATCCATTCAGACAAAGAGAGAGCACGTATCAGTTATTTCCAGATTTCCTGCAGTGTTTAGGTAGTGTGCATTGGCGTAGTTTAGGGATTATTTACAGACACGGATATCCAATACAAGCAGTGTGGCTGTGTTATACTTTAAATCGTCTTGAAGTATGCAGGTAGTAACTGGATGTACCCTCGTGTGAGGATATCGAGTGGCAATGGAAAACGTGACCGGCATGCGGATACGAGCGCGTAAAAATGAGGAATGCCGTGCAGATAATATTTAACAAAATGTGCCCATGAGACCGAGATGCTCTGAGGGAGAGAAAAATCGAAGCTGTGGAATGGCCGCTGTTAAAGAGGGCCCAGCACGTTGGGTATACGACCTGAGTGTTTATTGGTGTGGGCAGAAATCACGTTACAAATCGCTGAGGCAGTTGCTGTTGGTGGAAAACGCACGCGCGGGTTTTCTTGATCTCCGCCCTCTTTCCTCTACTCCTCAAAGCTGTATGCATCGCGCTCTGCCGCGGTTTAACTCACGTTTCTCAGACCTCCTTCCCGGCATTTGTAATTACTTTTGTATTGAGTAGGCGATCTCGCCCGAGTTTTTACATTGAGCATAAAACTCTTGACATCTATTAACGACCTGCTATCGACTTCCGCCCCCTCCTGCAGGATTGAGACGACGTCCGAGCGGCGCATCAGTTCAAGGAGGAATCCGCGGCAATCGGAGGGCGTGCAGTCACCGGCGTACAGTACAGTCACACTCGTGATAAATCGCTCGTAGCCGGCAGCAGAAGCAGAAGCAAGCGGTTCAAATGAAAACACTCCAGCGGGGAGAGATGTCTTCAAACGGGATGTTCTACGGGCTGGTGCTGATCGTGGTGTGGACGTTACTCGGGATGTGCCACGGCGTGTTAGACAAGGTGACCATCGTGCCTGGAGACGTCAACATGGGCGGGCTGTTTCCCCTCCACACCGCCGGCCAAGACGGCGACTGTACCGTGCTGAAAAAGGGGAAAGGAATTCAGCGTATGGAAGCCATGCTGTACGCTATACAGGAGATCAATAAGTCGGACAAGATTCTAAAAGGCATCAAAATCGGTGCCCAGATTTTGGACACGTGTGAGGACTACTCTCATGCTTTGGAGCAGTCGCTGAAGTTCGCCGGCAGCCTGCTGCGGTTGGACAGTCGGGACGTGAAGTGTGACGACGGGCGGCCGGCCGTGCTGCCCAAACCGAAGCCTCTGCTGGGTGTCATCGGTGCAGCTTCGAGCTCCGTGTCGATCATGGTGGCCAACATTCTCCGGCTCTTTCAGGTGAGCTAACCTTATGTTAACCCTTTACTTATGCCGGAGTCACAGTTCTATCCCGGGGCCCGGCCGGGCTGTTTGAAAAAGGTCCCGTTCCACTCTGTGCAGAGCATAGGGGTGGTGTCCATCTCCACTCCAGTAGCCCTTGGGCCACACTATTTGAACGAACGAAAAAATTGCACAAATCATGCTTACTATCACGTTTTGATACTTTTGCGTCCTTTTTATCATATTTTTCGCACTCGCAAACTGCCCGGCCGGGCCCCGGCGTGGAAATGTGACCGTAGCATTACGTACACACGAACATTTAAATCAAGAGATTCAAATCTAAGACGAAATCAAACTAGTCAGTCATCTAGAAAAAAAAGGCAACCTTTCAAGATGGTTGTCCAAACATTTTGCCCCTGGCGTTTTGATGCCCTGATGTCGCTGTGAGATATGAGCAACAGTCTAACTAACAGCTTTCAGATTCCGAAACCAGGGCTCGAAATACTAGTAATGGGTGCGTGTAGAGCTTTGCACCCAATTTTTTTCTGTGGATGCACCAGTGCACCAAAATATTTACGTAGGTTTACGTAATATAAAGATGCTTAATGTATAGTATAATACAGCATATTCCTAACATCGATGTGTCAGAAAAAATTAATTGTTGTTACAGTAGTACTTTCTTTAGAAAGGAAACATAATAAGTGTTTGCTGACATCATACTTATTCTATGTTATATTGTGCAACCATTTTTTATTCGTATATCCAAGCGATATATACATACACTGAACCATCCATTACAGAATAATTCAAATCATTACAAATCCTTGATCATAACAATAATCATAACAATAATTCAATTCAATAATTCAACCAAATATTTTGTGCACCCATTTTTTTAGGTTCGGTGCACCAGTTCAACTATTTTCCAAAAATGAATTTCGAGCCCTGTCAAACGCTTATTACCATGACGCTCACGCTGGTAGTGCCGGGCGCTGCCTGAGCTGCTTACGGCACAGTAATCATCATGAGAAACGACGACAACTTTACCAGTAGCGGTTTGGCAAATGTGTGTGGCTAAATCACGAAGGACAGTTAGCGTGTAATTTACCAGTCTGCGATGTAACCAAACCGACAAGAAACAATGTAACAACGGTTCTCAGTAATATGGCTGCTTCTAGAGAAGGAAATATGATCAAGCTGCACACATAGATGAATATGAGGCAACCGTGCCGTAATTTCCTGGAATATCATTGCCCTGGAATTAGAATATAGAATTTTCTAGCAACGCGACAGTCTGCGATGTAACCAAGCTGACAAGAAACAATGTAACAATGGTTCTCAGTAATATGGCTGCTTCTAGAGAAGGAAATATGATCAAGCTGCACACATAGATGCATCTGAGGCAACCGTGCCGTAGTTTCCTGGAATATCATTGTCCTGGAATTAGATTATTTCTATCCCCGGAACGTGATTAACCATTAGAAGAATGAACCCGTCGGGGGCTAGGTGCACTAATTACTAAAAAGGTCGGACTATTTTCTTCTAAAATTGCTGCCTGTATACACCCGTCTTTTTATAGTATTAGTAAATCCCACCTGCTAAAGGATAATCATCTTCAGTATTAATGTATGGCGCTCGTCAAGTAAATATTAAAAAAAGCTTTCCCCTCAGGTGGGATTAAGACAAAATTAGTTCTAGTAAGAGGCGAATAAAGGGAATAAGGGACTTATATACACATCATGTGAAAAGTAAGCGGGGAGATTATAAGCCTTATAATGAATTACATTAGAGGCGTTGATTGTTGCTGTCAGATGCTCAATGAATCTTAAACTTATTATGAGCTTATGATTTAGCTACGCTTTAATACATTGAAAAACCCCCAGTTACACGATAAAATCATACGAAAGCATGAAGAAAACAAAATAAATTCATTGCTTTCTGCAGAATTAAAAGACCTTAGGCCACAGCAAGTACATTTTACGGGTGACGGCAGACTCCAGAATTAATGCAAGAGGGCGATCGTACAAAAACATGAAGAAAACAAAAAAGCCATTGCTTTCTGCAGAATTAAAATACCTTAGGACACAGCAACTACATTTTACGGGT